CCCCCCCCCCCCAAACCCCCCCCCCCCAAAGCTGGGCTTGATCGTGAAGGGAAAAGGGGAAACCGGATTTCCTTGTGGGGTGAACAAAATCTTTGAGGGACCAAGGACACAGCCCTCCCCGGCCTCATTTCTGCAGCTCAACTGGCAGCCTCCTGTGGCTGCTTTAAATTAAGACGAAGATGTGGAGGGACGGGGGTACAAATTTCTAATGAAAAATGCCTCTTTGTTGCAAATCAGTTTGGTGCCTGCCAAATGCACCTTTTGCATTATTTGTATTGACAAATATAAAAAGACAGGAAGAGGGTTTGTTAGGCTTTTTTGTTATTGTTTGGAGGCAAGGAATGCTATACCGGGTGAGCAACAGCACACAGAAACCATGCTGGCTGGGCATTATGGAAGTTGTGGTCCCATCTATCTGCAAGAGGTCTGGCTGAGGATGGATGTTTTCATGTTTCATTAAAAGCAGGTTGCTTCAACTTGGCCACCCGGTGTTGGTGCCCCAGGGTTTCGTAGCTAAGACAGGTACCACACTGGCATACTGGCTTTGCGCCCACCGTGGCTGAGAATATAGTTGCCATTACAAGTTTATTTCATCCATTTTTCTCACCCCTTTTTCTTTTTGAGGCAGCTGGTACTTAAAACACACACACACAAACACACATGGAAGCAAAACATTATACATTTCCCATTACAAAATAAGAACCACGAGATTTCTTTGAATGCCACAGAATCCACTCTTCTGAAAGAAGATGCCAGGTATTTGGCACGCCACGTGCCTTTCTGCCTGCCTAACTTAGCTTGAAAAGGCACTCTTGCCGTCTTAAGGGTACTTAATTAAGACACCTCCTCTATAACATTTGTGTCCAGCCTTGTGGCTCCGTGAACCCCTTCCCCGAGACTTGGGTGTCACCCCCAGCAACCTCCCAAAGTTTTATTAAGTTGTAATTTGGAAGGTGGCACGAAGGAAAAACTACTGAATATATGGCTAAGGATAATAATTTTAAGCTTAGCTTTAAATAAATGTAAATGTGACTGAAAGGAAAACCAATAGTCATCTCTTTGCCCTGTTATTTTTTGGGGTGCTCCCTAAACCTCAGCAAGCCTTCAAAAGCCAACTATGGCCTACAGCCTGGGGAAAAATTCTGCTCTATTCCACGGGTGGGTAACCAGCCCTGGGGCTCTATGCAACCCCCGCCAAACTTCTTTCTGTGCTGACACCCACACTCACTTTTCAGCTGCCACTAAATTTGAATTAAAAAATTAAATTAAACTTGTGGTTGTAAGTCTGGATAAGGTGGGACATAGTGAAGAGGGAGAAAAAAATCATTTTAAAATGACAACCTGAGTTTTAAGAAGAGTTTTTCTTTTACCGTAGACATGCTCTTTAACCGTGGCAATCTCTTCCTAGTCTCCCTTACGTGACACTTTCCAGAAAACCCACGGGCACCCATCAATTCACAAAAGACCGTGCACCCAAGCTAGCGTATATTCTCCTAGGGTGCATCTTTATGAGGCTAAATTGGCTCCAACAATATAGAAGAGCAAGATTATCAGCAAGGGGGACGGGGGTGAGGTGGGGGTGGAGATGGGACTTGTTTTGCAGAAATGATAAACACCAAATCAGCCCAGGAAAACTGAGCATTCAGCAGGGAGGAAAATTGGCAACGTGGAGCAGAATGAGACGTCCGCAAGGGGACGTGCCTGGCTCTAACTTTTGATTTGTATAGGTAGGACCACCAGCTTCACCAATGTCTGGAGCTCCAATCGGGGAAGCTACTGCCCCTTATCTTCCTCACCATCAGCCCATCAAGCTGGAGTAACTGGCCACCTACCTTTCTCAAGGGCTGAGATGCCCATTGAAGCCTGAGCCAAATCTGCTCTTTTCTCCCATTTGCCTTCATCCGTGCGGTAGACTTCAACGGAGGCCAGGGGTCTTTGTGTGGAGTCAACCCCACCAATCACCAACACTTCCTTGCCAAGCATCACGGCTGCCGCCCCTGCCCGTGGGGTGGGCATAGAAGGTAACACTATCCACTTGCGGGAAACAATATCCAACATTTCCATGGTGTCCAGCGGCTGGCCCTGCTGGCTGCAGCCCCCCACCACAAAGAGGTGTCCATCCTGATAGGTTGGGCTGCAGTACACCCGACAGGTAGGCATGGGGGGGAAAGTCTCCCAGAAGAAAGACTTGGTATTGGCGGCTTCCATTTTGCCCAAGGGCCTGGCATCTCAGGAAACAGACACGGCAACTGTCCCCGCAATAAGCTGGTGCCTCAGCATGGCAGCCTTCTGCATTGGGTCCCCAAGACCGGGAGAGATTCACCTGAAGCAAGTCGAAGGACTTATTTCCCACACTGCTGGAACTCCACATCCACAAAGACTGCGGAAGGAGAGGCCGGGGTCCCCCAGGGAAGCAAGTAAGGAATGCCGTGATGTCCAAGAGATGGTGTCTCCACAGGAAAAGGAACCATTCCTCTCCAGAATGGCTAGGGATGACTGAAGGAAGGGACGGCCCAAACACTCAGGGCGGTCTATAATGCTGGAGGTCAGCCTCTAACCTCAAGCGGTGAGCCAGTCTCAGAAAGAAGGACACGTTCAGCAGGTTCTTCCGAATGAAGTCTGCACCTCTGTCTCTATATTGACGTTGAGTCCTGCTGCAGAGAGAGAGAATGCACAAGATTACTGGCTGCTGCCAAGGAAGCCAGTTTGAGAAATCTGATCATAGTGAAAACCACTGACACTGGATTATAGGATAGCTCCCGAATAAAAAAACCCAAGTTTCCATCTGTCCTTCACAGTTAGGCAACAACCCCAGATCAAGCAAGCAGAAAAGTGTTTCGGTAGCCTAGCTTTCAGTTTGGATTTCACAATAACGCTTCCACTCATCCATGGGCTCCATTTGGCTTCCTGTGTGGTCTTCTCCTAGAAAAAAAGTACCTCTCCATCTTTCCTCAGAATGAATGTCCCAGCAAGAGCCTTCCTAAAAAAAACCATGCCGTTCATAACCGTTTAAGATAAGGAGGGCTAGGACTTGGACCAAGGAAATCCAGGGTCATCACCACTCAGCCAGGGACTCACTGGGTAACTCTAGGACAGTGTTTCTCAACCTTGAGAACTTTAAGATGTGTGGATTTCAAGTCCCAGAATTGCCCAGCCAGTATGCTGGTTGGGGAATTCTGGGACTTGAAGTCCATACATCTTAAAGTTGCTGAGATTGAAAACACTGCTCTAGGCCAATCACTCTCTCTTCACTCAATCTATCTCACAGATTATGAAGCTAAGTGAAATGTGAGCATCCTAATCCATGTTTGTGAATGCAGAATCAGGATCAAACAGTTATTCTGGATTATTTAACATGCAGCCTCTTACTGTTTTAGGGTCCTATGGTACAATGAAAATTAAAAGCAAAGCAAAAATGGTATTGGGATAGAACAACCTTTTCATTATTACTAGTCTAAATCCCCAGTGACCTTAATAGCATCAGCAGAAGCATAATTAAGCCATTCTCCTACCCCAGGAAAAAGCAAACAGAACAGAACAGAACAGAACAGAACAGAACAGAACAGAACAGAACAGAACAGAACAGAACAGAACAGAACAGAACAGAACAGAACAGAACAGAACAGAACAGAACAGAACAGAACAGAACAGAACAGAACAGAACAGAACAGAACAGAATAGAATAATAACTTTATTGTCATTCCACTATACACTACACACCAAGTGCATAATAAAATGAGATTCCATTGGAATTGGCTCACAATCATACACTAAAATACAATTGAGATACCTAAGTTACTATAAATATACATTCTATACATTTGATATTAAACATTCAGACATCTAATAGCCTGGGGGACAAAGCTATTTCTGAATCTGGCTGTTCTACATCGGAGAAGCGGAACCTCTTCCCAGAAGGTAACAAAGAAAACAGGCCATGATGAGGACGGGAGGCGTCACTGACGATCTTCCGGGCTCTAGACAAACACCGCACATATGCTAGATCTTGGATGAGAGGCAGAGAGATCCCAATTATCTTCTCTGCTGCCCTTAC